GAAGATAACTTTAGAATTAAAGCGTGTAAGTAGATCTCAAGAAATGTTTGTAGATTGTGGAAAAGGTTGCAAGGAGAGCTGCAAAATAGTTACAATAAGCTCATACAAGACAACATTATATATACTGTATATATCTTTGCAATGCATTTTTATCAATCTGAAAATATAGTGATGCAAGACTTACAGAGACAAATATGAACATATAGATTCTATTTAATTGATTGTATACACAATACATGATGAGAATAAGATAGGGTTGTGTGTTCACATCATCACAGTTAAGAGACGAGGGAGCGTGAGAACAGCTGTGTGCACTATGGGGGAGAGAGAGAGAGAGAGAGAGAGAGAGAGAAATGGGGAGAAAGAAAGAAACATCAATGGTTGATGAATCCCACTTTTTTAAGAGAGAAACCGATAAAGAGAAGAAGAAGAAGGAGGAAAGAGTGACAGAACAAAGCAGAGAGATGTAGAGAAACAGATGGCGTTGCGGAGGGAAGTGTGAGAGGAGGAGGAGGAGGTGGTGGGAGATGGAGACATAGAAAGAGTGGGGAGGAAGAGTATAGAGAAGATATATTTAGAGGGGGGGGGTTTGAGCCTTGAAGCGAGAGGCATGACTCATCTTTTGCCAGCTGACAGAAGGATGGATGGAGGGAAGAGGGGAGGAGATGGACAGAGTCGGGGGGGGGGGGCACAAGAAGAGAAATGGGGAGAGAAGGAATGAAGGAAAGGAAAAAGGAACAGAAGGAGGACAGAAAAAAAACAGAAATAAAACTCAAGGTCTTTCTATAGCCCCTCTCAGCTGCATCCAAGTCCCACTGCATTTTCCCCAGGGTGTGTGTGTGTGTGTGTGTGTGTGTGTGTGTGTGTGTGTGTGTGTGTGTTGTGTGTGTGTGTGTGTGTGTGTGTGTGTGTGTGTGTGTGTGTGTGTGTGTGTGTGTGTGTGTGTGTGTGTGTGTGTAATGATACCAGCTGCATTTGGCAGTTCACTGCCGCACTTGTGTGTGTGTGTGTGTGTGTGTGTGTGTGTGTTACTCTTACATACGTGTGTAGTTAAGAGCAAACAGACGCATATCTCGAGGAAGTGGAGCAGGTAGTTTGATCATCCCTCGGGCTCGCCGTCCCTGCATTTGCAGTTTTCGAGTTCTTTAGTTCTTACAAATGTGTCCATGAGTCTGCAGATTTTTGGCACGTGTTCCCTCGTCTGCTCAGCTCTGACTTACTTACGTTTTCAGAAGCGCGAGCGGTTTGTAAGATAAGAAGAGAGCCAACGGCAAAATGTGTTAATTGCTGTCACATGAAAAAGTATGAAATAAAAAAAAAGACAAACAGACTATATCTGCTCCAGACAAATAGCAGACCTTGAGCTGTCAATAAGCAACATGGATCAAGTGTTCAACACAGCGGTGCATTAGAATAGCACAACAGTCACATAGGCCAAAATTTAAATATATTCAGTACTTTTACTGGTGCATCTCCAAACACATTCTCCAAATGACATTCTTTCACTAAGGTGACATTTTTGATGCAGAACTTCAGGGCTGGTAAAGTGTGTACTGAAGTTGCAATTGACTGAAAATGCACTATTAGGAGAGAGCATCTCATGTGGAAAAAATACACCTTTCTCTGCTGACATCTTCAGAAAAACAAACCCATGGAATAGACAATAATTTGCCTGCATCCTCTAATGAATCTGCCCTAAAAAGGTGGCTGAAAAAGAGTAAATGTGCAGAAGCTGATAACGCCTAAATCTAGCTAAATGACTGACTATCTGGACAGACATTAGATACGGACTTCCCTGCCAGGTATCTCAAGTGCCATTCATCGTCTGTTTTCATATTCTGCCCTTATTTCTTCTGTTTTTAACTAGAGGCTGATACATTTTCAAGTGACAGTCATTTATAATAGTTATTTAGCATTTTTGGCCTGAGAAGCTTCCAGGGGATCAGCTCAGACCTGATCAGCAGGCTGCAGCTGCGTTCCCTGCAGGAGAGGGAAGGCTGCATTCGCTCTCTGTAACTCTGCCACTGTGGGCCATAAAAAAAAATTAAAAAAAAGTGAGGGAGGCTGCTGTTAATCCAGAGAGGAGCTGCTGACTTTCTCAGGCGTTGCTCCCTGTTGCACGGCTATTGCTCATATCCTCTGGGGACAAGTCCTCTCTCGCTCCCTCACTCGCTCCTTCACTCTCTCTGTGTATCCATTACTTGGACACTCCCTCTCTCTTTTACTCTCCCTTTGCTTCCACTCCCACCTCCTTTCTTTTCTTCATCTCACTTGCTCAAAGTTTTGTCTCTGTGCCCTCACCCGTCCCTCACTCCCTCCCCTGCTTCAGTTTCCCCCCCTCTCGTTCCCTGCAGAGATATGTGTGGCTGAACTGCTCCTCCTAGTGTTCAAACAGGCACAGCACACGCTACTTCAGAAAATACCCCCTGTTGCTGTTATTTACGGCATTCTTGAATTAAAACAATTCTTTAGCAGCATTTTACTATTGCTGCCGATCATAAGTGATGTTATTGTTTCACTGCTTTAAACACAATTAGGTAGAACATTCCCCTGGTTTCAATTATAGAAACTGACTATAGGATGCATTGATGGGTGGAAATTTGAAGTCGTGAAGAAGCAGAATAAGAATAAACTTGTATAGTACCACGATTAGAACTATTTAAATATTACCATACCAGATCCCTAAAATGATAGTACTCAGAATTAGAAAGGCTATTTGGTGGTTGGTGTTAAAATAAATCATTGTCTGTGTTTCATCAGAAGAGGGCGCTGTTGCCGTTGTATTCTCAGCATCTAAAGTGGCTCCAGTCAGACAAAGTGCATCAGAAAGCTAGTGAAAAAGCAAGAAAAAGAATCATCCTAATCAGAAATGTAATCATTTTTATTCCCCCAGTCGCTGAGTGATCGGTTGAACCAGTTGTAGCTCTGTTTTATATTCTAATGACCTCTCTGTTGTCTAATGTGTAGCTCATTGTTGTACTGTTGATTCACTCGCTCAACCTGACTTTGACCCAACACCCGCCCTCTGCAGAATATCAATCACATGTATATTGAAAGGCAGCCGGTTAGATCACTTCCCAGAGCTCTGTGTGAGTGCGTGCACGTGCGCGCACGCGAGCAGGGGGGACTTTTAGGGCTCTCAGGAGATGAAAGGTGTGCGGGCCCCCTTCTGCTTAACATTATTGCGGGTCTATTATCATGCAGACGAGTGACATCCGACTTTACAAGACGAGAAACACCCACGGAAATCCGATAAAGACGAGTTTGAGGGGAATACTGATGAGAAGATTAAAAGTACCACGTGAAATAAACCTATAAGACTTAAAAAAGCGGAAACTGTCATCAGTGGTAATATGCATGACTCATCTGTTTTCTAATTGGAATAAAACAGATCCATTCTCTATTGCTGATTAAAATGTTCAGACACCTATAGGCAATTTAGAGCCTATGTTTTGCCTATGGATCGTTGAAAGCCGCATTGGTTATAAAATAGGGCATTTGAGAACTCTAAACTTTTCTTTATTGTCATTGTGTTCGCCTTTTTGTGGTTATGTGGTGTCTTTTGCACTCGTATTGTACCTAATACAAGCTACACTTATCAATTAACTAAATAAACAGGGATCCTGTTTCTCCAGGTATTTGGAGGGCCCCTCTTTGGTTTTGTTTTTAGAAGATGCATGAAAAACTAGCCTGTTACTCTCTGCAGGTTCACCGTCGTCCTTTGCTGGGTAATAAATTGAAGAAAGCTCGCTGCTACACGCCTTTTCTTTACCCCGGGACTCCTGACCGTCTGTCTGTCTGCGTGCCTGTCTGTGTGTTTGGTGCGTTTGGGTGGGAGGAGGTGGTGTTTTGCCTTTTTTTTTTTTTTCGCAGACCAAAGAAGTAGGGATTAGACGATTTTGAGGCATTCACCTTTTGGTCAAACAAATCATTCACTTGAGCTAATAAAAGGAATTTGACGCGCGTAAAGCTCATGGAACCCTGGTTTCTCTTCCTTTCACCTTCTGATCATTTGTATTTGAACTTTCTTCTTTAAAACATTCACTCTTTCAAAAATGTAAGAACTGAACGGAATGAATAATCAAATAAAGAAAATAAAGAAAGACAAACAAAACAATGTCCAAATGTAATTATGTTTTGTGTGTAAATTAACATTTCAAAGATTAGTGGTTAGCTAGAAACGATTAGTTATCCTGTAGTTTCTTAATCTTTAACTATAATCTTTTATGCAAAAATTCATTTTGCCCATTAGTTTTTATCCCAAAATGTTGAACGCAACATCACAGGTGCTTATGGTCGTGGGCCAGCAATGAGCGCTTTTGGTGGACCCTCTGCCACGCACATGCGCGCGCTATGTATGTATGTATGGGTAGAGAGGGGTGGGTTATGGGTTGGGGGGCTTTCTGAGGCGAAGTGGGGGTGAGAAGAGGAGGAGTATAGACTAAGAGAAAGAGGGAGATGTGGAGTGGTCGTAAGGGGATAGGAAAGGAAAGGAAGACTCGCTTTGCTGCTCAATTAGCGTTTTAATCTCCTTGTTAATCTTTCCCCAGGACAACAGCAGGATAACCCTTTCCAGATAGTTGCTTTGTTGTATTCATTTCTTTTTTTGATGCAAGAGAAGAGAGACATCGCCTCGCGCATTGCGTAAAACCAAACCAAACCATTTTACGCACGAAGTCTTGCCAGTAAACTGGATTCACTGTTGTATCAGCAGACTTGAGAGCTTCATAGAGAAAATGCGGCTGTAATTTTTTGTCCCTACATGCACGGCGAAACCAACTGAGGATTTGAAACTCTGGCCTTTTTGGTGGCTTTTTTCCAACTCGATTTTATGGCTGTTTTGTTTTTGTGTTTTTTAAAACAATAAACTGGAGAGGAGAGTGTGAAAGACAAGTGGTCCGAAAGTAAACAGTGTAGCAGAAGTGGTGCAAAACACACGTAAGCCCGTGTGTTGGGCTTGAACCTGCAACTAGCCTACTTTTTTTTTTTTTTGCGTCCAGTCCCAAAGACCCAGCAGCAGGACCGAGCTGGGCGCCGCCTGATTGTCTGCCCCATGTTTCCACAGCAGAGCACTTACACCGTCGGCTGTGCGGCGGCGAACATGGACATCAGGCCTTTCCGGAGAAGGAGAACCGGTGTGGTTCGACATCTGCTGCTGGCAGCCGCCTTCCTTGCCTGCAGCTCCCAACTGCTGCTAGTGGATGCCAACTCATGGTGGTGAGTCAATGAACGGTATCTGGTGGGGCACTGATTTTCTGCAAGATGTGATGGCTGATAAAAAAGGGAATTATCTCAACTGAATGGCAGCAGAGATAACAACTTTTAAGAGAATTTCAAATTGAGTGTTTCATGGTATATCTCTTTAATTGCTGCATCATCCTATTGTATGCTAAACACGTTTTTGTTTAGCTGTTGATAAAATGAAGAAAAAAAAATTGTAACCCAAGAATTCTAGTTGTCTTCCATATGTGTGTTTTTTGGGGGTGATGTTCCAGCCAGTGTGCTGGAGCCCAAACAGTGAGTGGAACAAATGTGAGGGCCCTGTCACAATATTTACCCTGGCTGAGCCCCAAATGGCACTGCATGGCTGCCTGCTGATGTGCTGATAGGACCCTTCAATTAACAAAACTTGTTCTCTGACTTACAAGATGCAATGCCATTTAAGTGAGAGCAAGAGTGCAAGTTATTTGGTGTGTACTTGGATTATTAACATTTACGATTTCTCTTTAGCCATGCACTCAACAAATCAAATGCAGCTTGAAGACAACAGACCTGCTGTGTAAACCATGCTAAGATTGTAGAAATGCATTGAGGCATGTGTTAATGCTAATAACACAGAACAGATACTCCTAAAGCTTTTCAGATTATAACTGTCTGATCTTTCTTTCTTGTTGGACTCCTTTGTCAGGCATGAAAGGAACCAGACCTTCTATTTTTCTGTTTGGTTACAGATTGCCATGTCATGTTTTCAAAGCAAATTTGACTCAAAGGGTTTAAATTAAAGTTCCTTTTAGGGCAGTTACAAGGGGAAAGACAGGAAAGACAACACAAGGAGTACGCTGGCACTGATGAACACCAGAGGAGTCCATGTATCTGCACTTTATAGGCCAGTTGTACTAATAAACTTGTGTCTGAACTTTGTCCTCTGCTTGGTAGCCTCCTCTCAGAGAGAGAGTTGTAGATCTCAGAAAACCCTGTCTGTGCCGTTTCTCTTAAAGCAGTACAGATAGATTGAGTTTATTGGTTTTAAATGTAGGTTCATTATGCTCTCTGTCTCTCAGGTCACTAGCTCTGACCCCAATCCAGCGGCCGGAGATGTACATCATCGGAGCTCAGCCTCTCTGCAGCCAGCTGTCTGGTCTCTCTCAGGTAACTTTATTTGTCTTATTCTAATATTAAAAGACTTCTCTTCCCAATTTCACAACATTATTTACATTAACAACATCAGTAATAGTAAAATAGGTCATGCATTTTATTCCTACAAGTGCCATTTTTTCACCCCTGATACTGAGGAAGTAGTCAAAGAAGGGGAATTTCCCCAAAGGGGACGTTTAAGTATCAAAACATAAACATGCTAATCTTTGCTAATCTCCCCCTGTGCTGCTGTTCACTCTGCAGGGCCAGAGGAAGCTGTGCCAGCTGTACCAGGACCACATGATCTACATCGGAGACGGAGCCAAGACTGGCATCAAGGAGTGCCAGTACCAGTTCAGACAGAGGAGGTGGAACTGCAGCACGGTGGACAACACGTCTGTGTTCGGACGGGTCATGCAGATTGGTGAGTTGACTTTAAGAAGTGAAGTGCAGGAAGAAAGATCTGCTGGTGTTATTCTGAAAGGCGGGTCAATTCATTTGAGAGTGATTGGTATCTCCACTCTACTGTTTGTAATTATTACATTGTAATTAGTAAATGCTTTTCAGTCGTAGGACTATTACACACAAGCCACAAAGCGGTGATTTTATCAGACATGCAAAAGCCCAAAAGGGACTCTTAACATATCTTTGACAGCCGGGTCAAATTAGAGGCAAAGTGATGACAGCTGCATTTTGCTATCAGCTATTTTGAAATTTAAAACAAAGATGACAGAAAATATTTGCGACCAAAAAAAACAAAATCTAATCTAAAGTCTTTATGAAATGTTGGATTTAATAGGTGATAGACCTACTCATTAATGATCTTATTAGCGCTGTTATAATGATTTGTTTTAACACAGTAATTTAGCAGGTATACCTGAGTGTTGAATGTTTGACCAGCAGAAGGGTTCATTTGAGGTCAGACAGTCATAGGCTGGAATAACAATACGGTGTGCCACATATCATTGTTAAGACAGGAATATGAGTTGAACGGTAGGTTGGTAGAGACACTAGCAGGCCAAAGAGTAGACAGGTCATACAGCCTGAGGGTCAGGGCAAACACACACTGTGTTTTGGACCAAGTTGTGAAAGAGCCAGATGGTAAACGCTGTTTTAAAGGCACACCAATCCAAATTAAACAAATCATTACATTTTCTGTTTCTGGGGGCGCTTCCTGCTGATGACACTGTGCTCTCCATTTGTTTGTCTGTTTAAATACCTGCATTATGTATCAGGAGAGCCTAAGGCAAATTTTCAAGATGTATTCTATTCTATTCTACAACATATTATTCATTTAATAGCCCGTGCAAGAATTAAGACGTCTTTCAGGCTACTTATAAATGAATGGTATTTTTCCTGGAAGTTTTCTATTCTAGCCCACAACTGCAATAGTTATGGTCTAAGTGGTTTTAAAGTCCAACATTAAAGTTTTAATGTCCACAACATATTTATTGATACTAGTGGATTTCTAAGATCTAAAGGTTTACTGTAGATTTACCTTTATTTTATGTTGTAAAACATATAAAAACCAAAAATTGCTCAAAATATTTTAAGACATATTATTTGTAATATTTAAAAAATCCAGGCATCAGTTATAGTCTTAAGTTTAACATATAAAAGACAAAGATTTCCTTTGCCAAGAGCCTGTGATTGTAAATTCCTAATTTTGCTTGAAAGGTAAAGCCAGCTCACGCGTCGTTCCTCCTTTGCGCAGGCGCAGTGAGAGGGGTAACTTTAGACCAACACATGCAAGCAACGCAGTAAACAAGGCGCTCAAAAATGAGACACTCATGAACAAAGCTCATCTTTAGGCGGTATTTTAGCAAATAACTACAAGTAGCTCAGATCCGGGATCAGTTTCATGTGCGTCTAATTCCCAGCAGGCGATGTGGGAAAGCTCTCATCAACAAGTAAGTGTCAAATCCGCTGCGGGCAGTCAGACGAGGTGTTTGCAGCTCCTCTCTGGCTGACTGTCTCTCTATTGACAGTCGGTCTATCTCCAGGTTTATACCGAGGTGTTAGTGGCTCCATTGTCTTGCGGCTCCTCTTTTGAAATGCGACGATGAGCTGACACGGAGCCGGCAGATCCGGACCCGCTATTTGAAGTCTGGGCTCCGCAGTCTCATAAAGCACTCGGGCTCTTCTCTGTCTCTTTATCCTGCTGCATAATGTGAACGAGCATCCTGACTGACGGGGACTGTGCTCCTAAAAAAAAAACCTGAAAGAGGAGATCACACGCCTCAAGTCTGTATGCATACCTGCCTGTCTGGCTGCCTGGCTGTGTTTATTCCCTACTATAGGCTGCAAACTACACTACTTTAGTAATGTGCTTATTGACTAGAGATAGACTACACATGTTGTATTGACATCATGTAATTGAACAGATGTGTGTACTTCAACAAATATTATATCATTTGATTTTTTTTTTTTACATTTATGAGCAGATAAAAAATGATACAAAGCCTCACAGTTAGCCATTTCCATTTGTTGTGCCTGCCGCATGTTTTAAAGAGGCATAGGAAAACTAGATTAAAACAACAAAACAGCTTAAAAACTAAACAATATACCTGTAGATATGGTCAAACAATTTTTTTTGTTTTGTTGGCTGTCCACCAAAGCTGTTACGTGCGATAACAGAAATATTTAAGTTTAAAAAAATAAGTATTATTGATAAAGACTATTATCTAGAAGGTCATTAAAGGCATCAGGGATTATGGCTAACATCCATAAAGAACAAGAAATATCTAAAAGGTGGATTTTCACGTAATACAAAGCCTATCAGAGTGAGGCTGTATCTTTATTGATGTAGTCTTAGCTGGAAATACCTCAAGGCCCTTTGCTGTTCTCATGTAAATGTTCAGTCTCAGAGCACTTAACATCCTACCTGTCAGGCCGTCTTTTGTCTTTGTCCTCTTTTTTTTTTTTCCCCCTCCTCTGAATGGTTTGTGTATTAATGCAGAGAATAGTCACACAGCTTGTGGTGTGTATTCTACAATGTAGGATGGTGCCACACAGTTAAAGTTAAAGTGCTTCCTCATCCCCCCCCCATAAGATCTGTTTCTTACTTTTAGTGCTTTGCAGATTTTGATTTACATGTCCAACAAAGATTTATTAAAACAACATGAAGCTGACAGACTTTTAAGTAAGTAGAAATACATGTCTCACAAAATGAAGTTAACATTGAACTGGAATGACCTCCACATTTTGGTTTTATTATCTGGAGATCCTGAAATCCCTCTTTAACGTACTGGTTGACTGGCCAGCGTTAGGACAGGTTCACCCTGAAGGGGGAAACTGATATGTTTACCTCATTAAATGCTGCATGCATATTATGGATGACTGAGCTGGTATTTAAAGTTGTTGAGTTTAACCAGGTACTGAGTCAAAGCCTAAAATCACATCTATTGTCCATTGTTGGGTCAAGTGGGTGTGGGGCTGTTTGCTATGTGTGTGTGTGTGTGTGTGTGTGTGTGTGTGTGAGTGTGCTGGGGGTGTGTGTTAACCTGAGCAGTTGGCCATGTTTCCTGTCAGTGAACACACATTTACTGCAGCCATTAATAAAATAAAATAAAATACAATAATGACATAAAGCGTGTGCAGCAGTGCTCTATTCATGTTTAACTTTGCTGATTACCTGTTCCAAGTTTGACCTGAAATAATCAAATGAAATCCCTCTCTCCATCAGGCTCCAGGGAAACCGCCTTTACGTACTCCATCAGCGCCGCCGGGGTGGTCAACGCCATCAGCAGGGCGTGCCGCGAAGGAGAGCTCTCCACCTGCGGCTGCAGTCGGTCCGCTCGACCCCGCGACCTGCCGCGTGATTGGCTGTGGGGAGGCTGCGGTGACAACGTGCACTACGGCTACCGGTTCGCCCGAGAGTTTGTGGACGCCAGAGAGAGGGAGAAGAATTACCCACGAGGCTCTGCTGAGCACGCTCGCACTCTGATGAACCTTCAGAACAACGAAGCAGGGAGACAGGTACAGTACACACAGACTGTGGTCTTAAACTTAGCCTTTAGAGTTAGAGTAATAAGAGTCAGTGTGTGTGTGTGTGTCTCCAATCTTCTTAATATCTCAATGTGTGTGTATTTGTGCAAGCACTGCATTTTCTATTTGAGGCGAGGTGGCCCCTGATTGCCCGGTCTGGCACTATTTGTGAGCGTGCGTGTAAGTTATTTATTGGGAGGTTCCAAATGGCATAACTGCTAACGCCCTTGGAGTCTGGCTAGGTTGCTAGGTCAGTGCACATTCCAGTGTTGTAACCCACACACACACACACACACACGCACATTGAAGGTCAAACACACATACACAATAGACAGTTGCATGCTTCACTAATTGATGAGATATCAGAATAAAAACAATGGATGGATGAATTATAGATGCATGGATCCAGTGTTGGAGGGTTTCTGAGATTTTTGGCCCTTCCTGTTTGCCATGAAGTCATTTTTAAGGTTACAAACATGAAATCTGAGCCAAAAGTGTGCAGAAATATTTTTTAATAGAACTGCACTTAAGAGTGCTTTGATAGACCTGCAGGTACAATGACACACAGAAGTAACCTGACACATGTACACACTGACACACATTACACACATGTGAGGTCATACACACATATAATTGAATGAATAATATGATTATATGACGAAATGCCCAAATGAGAACTTGCAAAATTGAGAGGGAAAAATACTGTTGGATACATTAATTACAGATTAATGATCGATATGTTGCTGTGCTGTTTGCTTTTTGTCCCTCTGCGGATGCCATACAGCCACAATAAGGAGCAGCCAGCTTGATAGTTGAGCTGAAGTTGTATGGAAATGCTATGTTCAAAATGCATTTCAAAGAAACTTTAAACTGGGCTGTATCTTATTTTACACACGCTCATATACACACTGACACACACACACACACATGCATACACACCTTGCTTGTAAAAGGTCCATTTGCCCGTGCTGGTACACACTTGATTAGAAGAGTGTGTTTATCTTCAGAGGGGCTTTGTTCAAGCTGTTTGCGAGACAGAGACGCTGTGTGTGTGTGTCTGTGTGTGGATGTGTGTGTGTGTGTGTGTGTGTGTGTGTGTGTGTCCGTTTGATTTGTGTGAGAGACAGTGAGCCTGGTTCTGTGCATGTGTATCAGGGCTCAAAGGTCAGGGTCTGGAGAGGTTGTGTTTCTGCTGAGGGTCCCATTGGGGCTGTAGGAGAGAGTGTGAGAGAGGCAGATCTACAGCTTTTTTATTAACACACACACACACACACACACACACACACACACACACACACACACACACACACTGTCTTTCTGTAACTCACACTCTCTTTTGAATGACTTTTCCACCTCTCTCCTGTTTGATCCCGGCTTTTCTTTGTCGCCTGTCCATCCGAACGGAAGAGAGGAGAGGAGGGAGATGAAAAGGAGGAGAGCGAACTGGAGGAAGACGGTTCCTCTCGTCCTCTTTATCCCTTCTCCTCGCTTTCTCTCGCGGACACGCCGCTTCGTCCTAAGCAGGATTTGTCTCGCTTGGTTGCACGAGGCAAACCGCAGGGCTTTTGTGGAGGTGACAGGGGCGTGCCGCTCGCTGTTTGTGTGTGTGTGTGTGTGTGTGTGTGTGTGTGTGTGTGTGTGTGTGTGTGTGTGTGCTTCATTTGACTTGTGTGTGAGGCGGATAATGTGGTCGTCTGTGTGTACAAGCGTCTGGAGACAGAGACGCAGGGTGAGGGATGGACCTCCGTCACAGTCCCGCAACTCTGAAAGACCTCCTCACACACACACACACACGCACACACACACACACACACACACACACACACACACACACACACACACACACACACACACACACACACACACACACACACACACACACACACAAACTTTTACACAAGAGTACACAGCCACCCAGGTTCAATGTCTCTGCCGAACACAAATCAAACGAGGCAGGGCTCATCACACAGACACCAACACATTCCCTCTTTAAAGACAGTAACAGGCCCCCTCTGCTCTGAACCGAGGGCAACTTTCACATTCATCACCGAGCGCTTTGTTAGTAAAAGCCAGAATCACCCATCTTCTTATATTACATGTAAATAGTGGTAGTTCTATTTGTTTTTATCGTGTTGTTGTTATTTCCACTCTTGAGTCCAATTCTGCAAGCATGAGGCTGTAGTCGTGTCCATTATCTGAGGATTTAAAATCAGCAATTTGCCTTAAAACCACAGCTCACCTGCACAAAAAATGTTTCAGCTAAAAAAAAAAGGAAGAAACGTATGGTTAGAAAATAGAGCAGGGATATGCAGTAGATTTACAAGGGAAGACAAAAATAGTTTAGACAGTAAAGATGCAGTTTGAAATGATCGTCAAAGTTAGTTTCTCGACATCTGTAGGATCCACAGCTAAAAAACTGAAGCTGCTCTACCGGCCAAAAGTTAAACTAGGGTTGTATAAAGTAGGCAAACATCATATGAACTTTAAACAAGGGATATGTTAAAGTGTCAACACCAAGTTTTTAATTTTACCAGCAAGAACATCGAGCAGGAAAATGTGTCCCTTCACCTGGCTCTCTTTGGAAGGGACAAAGGGTGGGCTATTTTCTCTGTTTCTGCCTCATTCTACGACAAACCTCAATCAGACACACACACACACACACACACACACACACACACACACACACACACACACACACACGGCTCCTAACCCCTAACCCTGACTGAGCAGCAGCTATTGTGCCTGACACAGAGACCGTGTCTCTGCCACGGATGACTAACCATGTGTGTATGTGTATGAGTGTGTAGTTTATTTGTGTGGGTTGTCACACACAGACCCACCAAATAGCTCGGTATGATGCTTGATGCACACACACACACACACACACACACACACACACACACATACCATTTGCAACACAATATAATGACAGGACTTTTTCACTCAAAATGTTCCCACATATTTTGACTCCCTCTTATACTTCAGCATGTTTGGGCCCATAATTAAAAACTGGTTGCGTGTCTTATGATCTGATAACCATGTTTCTTAACCTCCAATAAACCCCACAGTGGGTGATCTGTGTAAACACAGAGGCTCGTAAAACCACAAGGAGTCATAAAATTTAGCATTTCCTGCTGGTGTTGTCAAATGAAACTAATCCTTTAACTCCCATTAGTTCGTCGTCCGCTCTGAACAATTCAGAGTTGCAGAAAAATAAGTGTTAAGAGTTTGACTTTTTTTGTCCTTTTAGTTTCAAACTTTTGTGAAATCAAGAAATGATTCTGAAACAAACCGCTCATAAAAAAAAAGGCTTCTACCTTCACAAGATGTCATTGTCCCTGCTCTCCGTGTCTGTCGGAGGGGGTCACGGGGGTCGAGACACAGGATTGGAGGGTGCCGAGTGCTATGCCTGCTGGGTAGTAAAGGAGAGGATTGGGGAGCAGGAGGTGGGAGGTGGGGGGTCAGGGTTGTGTTTGGGATGCAGGGGTTAACAGAGGTGAGAAGGTAATTGAGATCAGGCCCGAGAGGAGACGGAGCGGTGGGTTTTTATTTATGTGAGGGGAACTTAGGAATCAGGGATAACTGACTCAGCGAGTACAGCGTGTTAATGTGAGGGAGTTTGTCTCAGTGGCTTTACAAACATATCACAATGCCCGATCAGTGACGTGAAATATAATGTTCTTCATGTGTTTGTAGCTGAATGGGTGAAGTGCTCCCCCTAAAGGTCACCTCTGCAAGGACAATAAATCTTCTATCAACTGTTCTAATTTATCAAGCATACCCTTGTGATAAATAAGATGATGAAGTTTTGGACCAAGCCAGACATCCTGCAAACTCAAACTGCTCAGAAACATTGAAAATGTGTGAAGAGGCAGGGTCAGTTTGTCTTAATCAGCTATTTGGATATACTATCTTTAATGTTTTATCAGCTTTTGGACTGGAACAAGAAGTTCAGTTTTGAAACGATGGCAGGATTTCTCAGAGAAGTATTTTTTTTAATTCATGATTTAAAAAAAAAAACACCCATGCTCTCACCTACAATGCCTTAAATGGTGGCTCTTTTTCATTAAAACAAATCAAGATATGCTTGGAATATGGATTTATGCTGTGAAATCTATGAAAGGACACTTTTACTATTCCTACTGATTTTACAGCCTAAATAACCTGACGTCTTATTTAAACATATTCTTCAACATTAGTTCTTTCCTTTCTATATAGGAGATCTGTGGGAAACTGGATGTACAATATCTATAGCCATTTCCTCTGTTTATTAGAAACCCTTCCATTCTTAGTCTGTTTGTTTTAGTTTGGTGGAGTAGTACTAACAGCCGTGTCGTCATAAAAGAGCAAAAGACTTTTCTTTGTTTTTCTTTGCTTTGTATTTTACCCTTTTGTTGGTCTATTTTACCGCATGTTTTAACTGGAGGGGGTTTTGCACCCGCACACATGGGTGACAGATAAAGTATAGAACTGGCACATGTGGATTGCTAGCCTACATGTGATGTCTCCTTCAGCAGTTATTCATTTGTTCTCGTTTTTTGTATCCGCAGTCTGAAAGAATTATGCTGAGTGTGACCGTTTCAATGCTAATCATTTGACGTGTTTTAATTCAGTTAAAGTGAAGCAGATCACATCAATACCACCAGTTTAAGGACACACTGCTTGGCGTGTTTTTATCAATTAGAAAGAGACTTCATGAAAACAGTGCATCTAACTAAAGCTAGGGATAGCAGTTTCTAACTTGTAGCCTCGCAGTCTGCTTTGCTTGTTCTCTGTTGGCTTGTCAGTTGTTGTTGAAAATACTTTTTATGTGCCATAAGGTGTAAAAGTTCACTCATGTTGTAGTACAGATGTAAAATAAGTCTGATTGTGTTACACACATTTGTGACCGAGTGTTTTATTGAATGTTTTAACATTTTGAAGCAGCATGAAGTGAAAGTATTAAAAATGTATGGATGTAAGAATTTCATCATCTGAATAACACTTTGTTTACCTAAAGGCAGTTTGCCTTTCACAATGACTCTTCAATACCTCCTGATACATTTAGTTGACGTGAGATGCGGTTACACATGTCTACCACGAGATGGCAGCAGAGTATTAATATAGTAGAGTTACAGCAAGAATTTGAAGTTTCTCACTGTAGAGTACTGCAGGGGTCTTGAATTGACAGCCTAGAGCTTAGATCCAATAAGCAAAACTATTTAATTAACTTGTTTTTTGTTTTACTAAAGTCTTATACTGAACATGATCATTTTTGAAGATGGAAAAAAATGATTTTTATTTAAAAATTGAGCGAGAACTGAAATGTCTCTTTATTATTATTTATTTCAAATTATACTGAAAGTGAAAAAGTAAGGGGAATTTATTGATAAAAACTGTGTTTCTCCCTCCAATGTTAGGAAAGCAATGAAAACCAGATAGTGAAATCCACCACATGTTTTTAAAACGTGGCTCTTTGCTCTCTCTCTCTCTCTCTCTCTCTTCCAGGCGGTGTACAACCTCGCAAATGTGGCGTGTAAGTGTCATGGTGTTTCAGGTTCCTGCAGTCTAAAGACCTGTTGGCTTCAGCTGGCTGACTTCAGACGTGTTGGAGAGTTCCTGAAGGAGAAGTATGACAGTGCGGCGGCCATGCGCATAGGACGCAAGGTATTATAGTCGTAGCATAGTGTCATAAACAGTGAGCACAATTATCTGAAATAATCCTGAATCTCACACTAAACAAACTCGCTCCACTTTCAGGGCAAGCTGGAGCAGTTGGACAAGCGCTTCAACACCCCGACCCCGGAGGACCTGGTGTACATCGACACCAGCCCGGACTACTGCCTCCGCAACGAGACCACCGGCTCGCTGGGCACGCTGGGTCGCCTCTGCAATAAAACTTCGGAGGGCATGGACGGCTGCGAGCTGATGTGCTGCGGCAGAGGATACGACCAGTTCAAGACCTACAAGCACGAGCGCTGCCACTGCAAGTTCCACTGGTGCTGCTACGTCAAGTGCAAGCGCTGCACAACGCTGGTGGACCAGTTTGTGTGTAAATAGCACGCTGACGGATGATGGACGGATGTAAGAGGATGAGAAAGACAGATTTGATGGATGATGGAGGAAGGAGCATTTTCAGCGGTTTGTTCAGGATAAGTTAAGACACATCAGCTTCATTTTCAGGCAGGTTTTCTTTTCTCCTCCATTGTTATTCAAATCTCCCGGCTTTTACTGATGAACGAGTCGATGGAAAACAATGAAGAGTGTCTATTCGCCCGTGCGTTTTGGACACCTCTGGGTCCAGATTCTCATCACTTCCTTTATTATAGCCTGATCAAAACCCTGAACGATGGATGGGATGGGAAAAAAAGAAAGGACAAAAAGATTGGACTTGGAAAAAAAGGAACAAATGGATCCTGAAAAAAGGACACATGCAATTAGTGTGAAAAAAAAGATATGAGAGATGAAATAAATATATGAATAAATAATAAATAAACACACAGTGCTGATTGTAATTTAAAGAGACTCGAACAAACTGAAAGGCTCAGTTTGGACCCTTCAAAGTCATGTGCTGGGGGGGGGGGGGGGGGGGGAATCCTCACAAATCATCACAGTCCTTTTTGGAGATTGAAGCCATTCGAGCTCCAAGCGCTGAACTTTTGACCGCTTGACCCTGCAAGAGGAATCCTCGCATGTGTCAATAGTGCTGACGCTGCTCAAACATCGCGCAGAGACCACCAGAAATGCAGACTGGAACAGACGGATGAGCGCGAGCCGGGTGGGGGGGGGGGGAGATAGAAGAGAGAGGGAATCAAGATAAAAGGGAAACTGTAAAACAACCAAAATGAGACTGTGATTTTAAAATAAAATGCCAATTTCACAAATTACTGGAAAACTCAAGCATGGGGAAATTACAGCTGTGTAGAAATGTTAAAAAAAAAAAAAAAAAAAAAAGTCCAGGAAAAAACACTTAATCACTTAATGTTGGTGTGGGAATGGGCCAATACCCTACAGAACACTCTCTCCATTTGTCTCAGTGTAATTGCTCCTGTGATTTACAGCACCTGGGAGATGACAAGTGCGTCTGTTCCGCTTAATGAAGCTCGCCATTTTCAGGCCATCTTGACGTTGTGCTGGCCGTTCAAACAAGCAGATCACATCAGTGGTCCAACTCCACGACCTTCATGTGACAGTGAAGTGAGCGAAGCCTGCATTAGTGAGATTAATGTGCCGTATCTGCCTTAATGAAGCCGCTCTGCAAGACACTGAGAGTGGACCTGCTCCTCTCATGTTACGCAACTTGTTAAGTCAACTCAAAGCCAGCATCTCAACATCTTATTAAACTGTCTTACCATGAATTTAGCAACTTGTATGCTCTTGGTTGAGGAATATCTCAAAGTGTATAATGTAGCACGACAAACATGAAGAGAACTGAGCATGCTGCGGTGAAGTCAATATGAGAGTGTGGAGGGGGAAAAAAAGAACAGAAAGGACTGCAATTCATTTTGTGCTACTTTAAAAAAGGAAAAGTAGATCAAGAACAGAAGGTATATTTTATTATTGTTTTCATTCTCCTGTTTTTCTATGTTTTATACATGACTATTATTGTGTATTCTTTGATAAACTAGTCTACAACAACCGAGCTTTGTCCTGTTCTTGCTGCAGTGCTTTTGGAAAACCTGGACCAGGTCTTTGTCTTATAAAGAAGGTTTTGGAAAACGATGCTGCATTTGATGAAAAAGAAGTTTAATCGAATACGAGAAACTGAAGGAGAGCAGTCACAATCGCCGAAACAATCCCTTAAGTGCTTTATGAGTTAAGATATTTAGTCATAAATCAGAAGAAAAAAAACATGATAATAGTCATGTTGTTATTGTGACCATGCCTCAGACTTAACAAATCACCTGATACTAACACTGACCCACAGAAACTTCTACAAACAACAATTTCTTTATAGTTATTACCGGTTACATCACAGAATGTTTCTGTTTTGATTAAGAGACAATCCAATGTACATGCAAAATGGATTTGAGCTTGTAAAGTGCTTTTCTAGTCTTCTGACTACTCAAAGTTACCTTACACCGCAGGTCACACCTTCCCATTAACACCCATTCACACACTGATATCAGTGGTTTCTATGAAAGGTAACCTTCAGAGGTAACCAATCCATTTATACAACTTTGGGTGTCTTGCCCAAGTACACATCGGACATGTTGCTGCAGGAGCCTCCGACCTTCTGGTTGAGAGACGACCGAAAATTCTTCACCCCTTTACAGATGCTTGTAATTGAGGAAATAAAATCAAATTTTGAGACACAATAGTTTGTGCACTGGTTTGTTAAAACTATTTGGCTTGTGTTGATTTTGGACAGAGCGGAACATTAATCTCCTTGTTTATGTTGTCCTGCCCATGTGAGGGGAGGATCTCACCCTTCTCTAATTAAAAGCCAAACGTAAAAAACTGTTTTGGCAACTTTCAGGTAAACACTTTTGTCTGTTACTGTACATGCCCGTGGCAGCAGTGGCATCTATAAAATAACTTAGAGGAATGATCAGTATTCTTGCTGGTGGTCTGGCTTCCTCTTGGAGGTCACAGAGAGGCCCCAGTATTATTTTTCAGTCTGTTACATTACTAGCTAGAACTCCTCACAGGAGCTTCAAGAATATACAATGCATTTAATATAACAATAATATCCAAAGACTTAGCATTCATCCTGACATTTACATATAAATCCCCATCATTGCAGCACAGTTTATAACTTTATGCATTATAATAATTACAACAGTATCCAATTTGATTCATCTTGATCATAAAAGTATGAATGCACTAACAGGAGCGGATGATAAGAATGTTTTTCATGCTTAACAGAGCATTTTATACAGTTGAAGTATTGTTTTCTCACACAGAAAGTTATAATTACATAGCCTATATTAATGTTGTAAAGTTGGTATTCATTCATCATTGTCATTTCCTCTTGTTGTCTTAAATCCTGTGTGCTCCCATGGACCAGCAGCTTTTAGCTCCTTCAGTTTGCATGTAAAACTACATCACCCACACTGGACTCTCTTGTGGGTTTCCCCCAATGGCACCAGCAGTCCAACGTCAGTTCTATAAAAAGATTCAGCAGCTTAACATCCTTTAACAACTTTTAGCACTTAAATGTTAAGCGGACAGTCACAGCCAAGCCCGTCGCTTCAGCGCCCTAACTAACAATCCTATTACTTTCAGCTCCTCAAAGCTAATTCAATTAGAACACTGACCAGAGCAGCAAGAACAGAATACAGCATGTACTGTGTATGTGTGTTTGTAAATCTTCCTCACCTGCTGATGCACGTCTGTGTGTCAGCGTCTCAAACTTTATTTCTCATCTGTGACGGCCCCTGCCTAGTGTGTATGTATGTGTTTCTGGACTGTATGTGCTCATGGACATATGCTTTCTTCAAGGTGCCAAGAAAGTGTCGTCATATCCTGCTGGATCTGGAGCACCAGGGCCCATTGCTCCACCCAGGATCCCAAGCCTCTCTCTCTCTCTCCCTCCCTCAGACAGACCGTCGCATGAACATTTGTTGCTTTAGTTCTTTATGTCAGTGCACTCTTTAAAACCTCACACACACAAACAAACACACACACACCACTGACTGATGATACAAATCAAACACACGTCAAAACTCTAATAATTGATCATTTATTTTCCTCATTTGCTCATAGATAATTATTTTATTTTGGTAACTTCTGAAGCCGGGTCTATGACACATTAAAAACGAAAACTGCTAATTATTCCTTTGAAGGTTATGTTTTTATTCCACACTGAAGGTTCATGAGTGTGTTACAGTGTGTGTGTGTGTGTATGTGTGTATTGCTGACAATTAGACAGCAATGCACAGTGTAACTGGTGGTTTCTTTAATCCTTATCACCTGACGTCCATCTGCTACTGTGATGCTCAAAAATTGGCTGAAAAAAAAAAAAAAAAGTCCAGGCTTTTTTCTTTTGTAAGCTAAACCTGCTTTTATGAAAATGTTTTGACTTTGTTTATCCTCAAAACAAGTTAACAAGTCAGTTTAATGCACTTTTTTCCAGTCCATGTTGTAGAAAAAGTGTAGATTTACTGTTTCAGAAGAAGCATTGGCTTGGTGTTCTTTGCTGCCTGCACGTCAGTCTGTCTGCAGCTCTTGTGCCTTTGAAGTCAATCTTGTACATTTTTCATCACTCCCAGGAACAAAAGCAATACCATTCAAGAATATTTCATTTTATTTATTTCTCTTTTTTTCTTAAAAGACTTAAAAAGACAAATTTAGAGGTTCTCTTTTCTTTTTCTTCATTTCACTCATGTCCCCGCAGGTGTTTGCCGACGTGGAGCTGTCCTGAAAGTTACACTTCATTATACGCTTTTCTCTTATCTTCCTCTCTACAGCTTTGACTCTGCACCTCCGTGGAGACGCCGCACATGTAGCTTCCAGGCTTTTTTAAAGGCCAAAAAGTATCCGTGAACATGCTTCTGCAGGTAAAGTCCCCTGGAACATCAGTACAGTGTTTTTAAAATATAGCTATAATGACACCTGAGTTGAGCCTCTGGTTTTTACCTGCAGGAACTTCAAGTGTTTGACTGTCAGCTGCCTAATTATGAAGTTAAACCTGCTGAGAGAGGCATACCTCCTCATTTTGCTGTCAGAATGCAATGTATCTTCTTTTTTTTCCATGTGTGTGATGTGTTTGGCACGGAGAAGGAAGATAATTCCTCCACAGCCTGTCCTCTTTATGTGTTGGTGCAGGACAGGAGGAATTGGAAGCTCTGGTTGTTGCTCCTTCTGTGTCCACTGGGGAAAAGAGCCAAGGCTGGAGGGCATTCTGGATGGAAAAACAGGCAACACTGAAGAAGAAAAAAATATCTGCAAATAAATGAAGCCAAGATCTTTAGTTATTCAGAAATGTTGTTACCCAATAAAGTCGGTCTTAGTGTAAAAATCTGCAAAAAATAAATAAATAAAAATCTACTATAAAACAAACAGTATTTGTGTACTCTGCCTTAGACAAAGAAAGCTACTTTTGATCATTCTGCTAGCTGTAGCTTTAACTGCACACACAGCCAGAAGCAATGGGACAATGCACATGGTTTGATTATCCAGCAGCCGTTAAGACATCCGTAGGCGAACTCTCTGATCTGAATTAGCATAGGGGAAGCAAACATCCCTTTTTTCTCTGTCTCATACAAACACACACAGCATACAGATGTACATTCATATTTTGACACTGTTTTCGAACGTTCTTTAAGTCTCTTTTTTGAGTCAAAAACAAACATTCAACCCCTGATGTGTTATCCCATTGATCCATGTGTTTCTACAAGCGAGATTTTTAAACAATGTACATTTTAAAGGGTGCAGTGCATTGACTTACACACAATGAATAGCATAATGTACAAGGTGCTCTGCCCTACTGATCACTAAATACACCTGTGATCCAGGTTTCCATGACCTGTGATTGAGGGAATGAGGTGTGCTGG